GCTGCCGGTTATAGTGAGTTCTTATAATCATATGTTACCTTAGCATGCATTTTCTTTATGGATTTCACATTCTCGTAACAGGAGAAACCTTTACTCAAACTCAACAGAATTTCCAGTTCTCCACCTCCTCCCAGTTCCTCCATGTGGTCAACTCACATGTAAGACTTACACAGCTGCATTCTGGTGACCACCTCCCTGTGGGACAGCTAGATACAACCTTGTTGGGGTGGCCTTTCCTTGTCTTTTGGGATATTTCTCTCTTCACAGGTGAGACAATCCAGAGGACAGGAATCATTTCTGCTTTTCCTCAATAGCAACATCCGATTAGCTGACCTGCCATGCGTCTCCAATTAATGGAAACTGAAGCTGGGAGAGAGAAGCGGAGCACCCATGAATTGGGTATCTAGATGAAAAGTATACCAGGCATCTCCTCCACCATTACTCATTCAGCTGCTCCCTTGGGAGGCCCCACTCCCCTAGGCACTGATACCCACTAGACCCTCCAAGAGACACGGCAACTGTGGGGGTCTTGGGTCAGCTACAGGCAGTTCTAAAACTCAAAACCTGGAAAAGATGGAAGGGTGTACTGAAGACATACCACCCTGTAAAGTTTCCAGAAAGGAACCTCATCCCAAAGATATCCTGATAAGGTGTCTATGTCTCAGAAAGATAACAGGAGGAGAAGCAGAAAGGATTTTTCAGGAAAATGTCTAGTGGTGATTCTCTGCTTTCCTCTCATGTGAAATGTTCAGACATTGATTTTACTGTAAGCCCTTGAAGAGTTAGGCTGTGGTATGAGAGTGGAGGATTTGAGACCTTGCGTCGCATATATTTGGAAAATGTAAGGTGAAACCAGTCGCCCTGGAAAGTGTGAAAAAATTTAAATAAGAAGCAATGAGACCGAACTGTGTGTAGTACCCTAGGGTCCTACCTAAGGGCCCTGAAATCAAATTTAAATACAATTCTTGGAAATTACTAATTTATAGGGAAATAAAATTTATGCTTAATCAGGCAAAATTTACCAATTACCTTGTAACTACATACGTAGAAATTTTCTACCTATATAGGCTGTGTGAACAAGTAAATCAGGCCGGGTGCAGTGGTTCACACCCGTAATCCCACCACTTTGGGAGGCCAAGGTCGGCGGACCACTTGAGGACGGGAGTTTGAGACTAGCCTGGCCAACGTGGTAAAACCCCATCTTTACTAAAAATACAAAAATTAGTTGAGTGTGGTGGCACATGCATGTAATCCCAGTTACTTGGGAGGCTGAGGCAGGAGAATTACTTGAACCCAGGAGGTGGAGGCTGTAGTGAGTGAGCTATCGCGCCACTGCACTCCAGCCTGGCCGACAGAGTGAGGCCTTGTCTCAAAACAAACAAACAACAAAAACAACAAAGTAATTCCAAAATTTAAGCTGACAGATCTCTCAATTATCTAGAAGCAATGTGATAATGGGGTTGAGTCACATGACACACAGCTTTCACACAGACAGCTGGAACTCTCCTTTCCCTGATTACAGATTCACCATCTTTCTTACCTATAGTGTTTTATAAAATGTTGTAAATGACTGAAGGGAAACAGGAAAGACCCTTTCCCTCTTCACTTTTTTTTTTTAATTTAATATGATTTTTCACAATTGAGATAGGGTCTCGCTATGTTGCCCAGGCTGGTCTTGAACTCCTGAGATCAAGCCATCCACTTGCCTTGGCCGCCCAAAGTGCTGGGGTTCCGGGTGTGAGCCATCCCACCAGGCCCCTCTTCACTACTGATCTCTGTAGTAGACTAACTTCCCTCTTTACTTCCTCACACAAAGACTTCATGTCTATCACATTGTCTTCAGCTGGAATGTTAAATTCACTCTTTTAAATTGAAAAGGAAATAAAAACCAGCCAGAAAGAAAAGAATACAAACTCTGGGGGGAAAGAAAGCAAACCCTAACGAATTAAGATGTTAGCCAGGTGCAGTGGCTGACATCTGTAATCCCAGTGCACTCCTGGAGGCCAAGGAAGGAGAACTGTTTGAGGCCAGGAGCCAGAGACCAGCCTGGGCAACATAACGAGACCTAAGCTCTGCAAAAAATAAAAAATTAGCCAGGTGGTGGTGGGCAACTGTAGTCTCAGCTACTTGGGAGGCTGAGATGCTTGAGCCAGTGAGTTCAAGCCTGCAGTAAGCCATGATTGCACCACTGCTCCAGCCTGGGTCACAGAGCAAGGCATTGTCTCCAGAAAAAACTGTTGTATCTCATATATCAGCCTTCTATGGAAAATGTAATCCTGTTATATTTATTTGTCTTTTGCCTATGTAAGTGTTAGGGAAACAGGTGCCTAAGGGAGCCAGAGTAACACCAATTCAAGTTTAGCTCCACCTTGAGACTAACAAGAAACACTCCTTGCCAGTCACAACCCATGATCATCAAATGTTTCCCATGAAGAAAACAGCCTACAGATGCCTGCAAGTATCCTTACACTCCCACAACAACAGAACGTCCTGATGTCCCAATACCCATAACAACATATGCTTTCAAGATAATTACAGTTGTTTTAACGCGCTTGTATGCTAAAATGTAAAGGATAGTTTTCCTTACTCAACAGAGTAATAAATTGTGTGACGCTGTCAGCCCACATGCAAGTAGGCACAGGTCGTTTATTCTTTACATAGACAAGATTGCTACATAAGAAAAACTTAAGACAGTACGTTCCTCCACTTGCTGTATGAGGATGCCTTACTCTGAAACAGAGAAGCTTTTTCTTTCTTTTTCCTTTTCTCTCTTTTTTTTTTTTTTTTTTTTTTTAAATAGAGACAGGGTCTTGTTGTGTTAGCCAGGTTGGTCTTGAACTCTTTTTTGTTTGTTTTGTTTTTGCTTTTTGAGATGGGGTCTCACTCTGTTACCCACACTGGAGTGCAGTGGCGCATCCTCGGCTGGGCTGCAACCTTTGCTTCTGGGGTTCAAGTGATTCTCTCACCTCAGCCTCCCGAGTACCTGGGCAGTACAGGTGCAAGTCACCACATCCAGTTAATTTTTGTTAGTTTTGGAAGAGATGGGGTTTCGCTATATTGCCCAGGCTGGTCTCGAACTCCTGAACTCAAGTGATCCTCCCACCCTGGCCTCCCAAAGTGCTTGGATTACAGGCCTAAGCCATCATGCTGGCCCAGTGTAGCTTTCAATAAACTCTCTTCTCACTACACTTTGTGACTCGTCTTGAATTCCTTCCTGTGTAAGATTCGAGAACTCTCCTGGGGTCTGATCAGGACCTCATTTTCCGGTAATACAAGCAAGAACTTAACTTCCAATTTTGGAGTACTGAGTCCATTTCTCTGGAGTCTTTTTCCCAAATGGGCCATTGCTATCTTTTTGCTTGAATAAACTCTTCCAATTGAAATCTGAAGCTTTCGATTATTTTGGAGTGACAAGTCCAAATACGGCAACTGCATCTCTGCCACCAATCAAGCATTTATCTGGTTTGTCTCCTCATGTAACTTATAACAGCCTACCCCTAAACTGGTAAACTAAAAATAAAAACATAACTTCTGGCCTGGCGAGATGGCTCACATCTTTAATCCCAGCACTTTGGGAGACCGAGGTGGGTGGATCACTTGAGGTCAGGAGTTCGAGAACAGACTGGCCAACATGGTGAAACCCCATCTCTACTAAAAATACAAAAATTAGGAGGGTGTAGTGGTGTGTGCCTGTAATACCAGCTACTCAGGAGGCTGAGGCAGCAGAATCGCTTGAATCCGGAAGGCAGAGGTTGCAGTGAGCCGAGATAGAGCCATTGCACTCCAGTCTGGGTGACAGGACGCTCTGTCTCAAACCAAAACCAAAACCAAAAAGTACCTTCCCAGCTAAGTGAAGTGACTGGCTCTTGGCCAAGGGGACCCCCGAAAAACCCTGAAAATTGAGTTCTTCTGTATGACAAGATGGGAAGTGAGACGGTCTCCTTATACCCTTTCCCTTTAGGAGTTTAGAAATGCAGCAGCTTAATGCACATTCATGTAAAAATAGGTATCATCAGAATGGAAAAACAAACTCCTTGGGGCAATAAGATACCACATTACAAACAAGATCGAAGGCCACGTAAGGCAAAGGTAAAGTCACGCCTTAGAATTCATAAAATCTAGAGAAACAGGTCTGTTTTTTGGCTGGGATAGAATCAAGTGGCAGATAACAGACCCTCTTCCTTCAGCATTCCTTCCTACCTCCTCCAAACTTCAGACAAAGCTTCACACTCTCAACCAGCTGCCACCTACAGAATCCCTCAACCACCTGTGCCTTCTAACCCCCCTTCCACAGGTCCCACCCTTTCTACCAAAGGAATTTACATCTTTCAGGCACGGATTCATGATTTTCCCTACAATTCCTGTCTCTCTGAAATGAATAAAACCAAACTGTCTTGAGCCGCCTCGGGACCACTTACTCCAGGCATCTTGGGGTTGTGTTTCCCTCGGCCAACGTCTCTCCTATTCGGCTCCGAATAAACTTCTTTATTTTACACAGTCTGCCTTTTTCCGCTGACAAACCACAAGCCAGGACTGGGTGTTTCTCATTCGTGAATCGCTGTTTGCTCAAATGAACTCTTTCATTGTTAACGTACCTCAGTTTAATTTTTAACAGGAGAAAGTGGGGGCTGGGGGCCCCACAGACCGCTGCTCCTCCCACGCACGAACCCTACACCCGAGTCAGGATTCCACCCATGCCCCTCACGTTGCTTCCGCTCAATCTGGGGAGACGTCGGGCTGCGAGCGCGGAACTGCCCAGAGAAGGCTCCGGGGCTGTGGTCGCAGTCGCTGCGCAGGGACGGGACAGGACGCCCGGGGTCCCGGCTGCCGACCAAACCCCGTCCAGCGGCCGAGGGGACCGAGGGCCAAGCTGCTCAAGGAGGACTCAGTCCCAGACCCCGGAGTCGCCCACAGGGAGGCCAGGGTCCCGCCACAGCCTGTTCCCGCCTGTTCCAGGCAGCCCCTCCCCCGTCTCACGACACCCGGCCCCGCACACACACCATTTCCTGGATTTCAGATGTCCCGGGGTCCTCTCGACAGCTCCTGTGACTACAGCAGGGAATAGCACAGGTAACTGAGCGACAGAAACCTGGGTACAGGCACCAGGTCCCTCTCCGGCTGGACAGACCGGACGGATCCCAACCGCCGCCCGCGCAGCGACAAAGGTGTGGGGAGGAACACAACCCCCTACATTTCCGGATGAACTGTGCGCAGGGCCACGCCCCCGAGCCTCTGATTGGATGAAATGCTAGGCCCCGCCCCCATATCTGAGTCACAGCTGAAGCCCTGGGTATCAGACCTCCCAGAGCCAGACTGACGGATTCTCTAAGGCTTCCCTAAGGGCGAGCTGCTTTTTGCACTCTAGTTATTGGATATTTGCATTTCAGCCAAACTTGGTATTGATAGAAGAGAATACTAGCGTCATCTTCACTCAAGGGGCTGTCCCTGCTCCTTCGTTCTGCACGGGGTCACAGGAGTGTGCAGGGAATTTCAGACTCAGTGTCCACAGGAGCCATCTACTGGCCTTAGAGCAGCAGTGGAACCGAGACCAGGCCGGCGGGCACGACTGCACCAGGAGGCGAGGCATACGTCCGCGAGCGGGCCGGAATTGGGAATGAGGCGTGGCCAAGCCTTGGTCCCACACCCCATCCCTCCTCACAGTGTGAAAATGTTTCCTCCTTCCAGATCTTCATTTTCACCAGGAGGAAACTGTCACCAGGTTTTAAGTTTCTGACCTGAGTAAACTGTCAACTTCATGAACGCTTTATCCAGGTGACGCCACCAAACAATTCTGCCTCTAGCTCTAGCCTGATCCTCACACTTTTTTTTTTTTTTTTTTTTTTTTTTTTTGAGACGGAGGCTGTCTTGCTCTGTAGCCCAGGCCGGAGTGCAGTGGCGGGATCTCAACTCATTGCAAGTTCCGCCTCCCCAGTTCACGCCATTCTCCTGCCTCAGCCTCCCGAGTAGCTGGGACTAAAGGCGCCCGCCACCACGCCTGGCTAATATTTTGTATTTTTAGTAGAGACAGGGTTTTACCGTGTTAGCCAGGATGGTCTCGATCTCCTGACCTCGTGATCCGCCCACCTTGGCCTCCCAAAGTGCTGGGATTACGGGCGTCAGTCACCGCGCCCGGCCACACTTTGTTTTTTAATCTATACAAATAACTCTGACCCCAGCAACCCCATGCATGTCAAATACCAAATCCTGCCCAGAAAACAGCTGCAGGCTCCAGCGGCACAACACCACAAAGGACAGACGCCACAAATGCTTCTGCACCTGGGTCTTCTGCTTTCCAGGGCTCTGCAGCTTCTCGGGATCCACACTCCTTCTGGAGCTGCTCTGAGCAGCTGGAGGCCACCTGTAGAAGGGGGTGGGCTGCCCAGGAAGCCACCAGGGAAGCTCTCTTTCTCTCCCTTTGCAGGCTCCAGACTGTCCTCAACGTGGAGTCACTGGCCTCGGGCTCTGCTTCCTTCTGCAGGTTATTCAGCTACTTCTCACCCCATCGGTTAGTTCTGCGAGACAAACACCCTCAATCCCATTGTGTGAATAAGACACCAGCAGAGTCCCTGCTCTCCTTCTATGCTTATGTATAAAGTGGGGGAGGAAAAATCTAAGACAACTTAAGGGCATTTGAAAGACTTCCAGGTCGCGGTGGAGGTGGCAGCTGAGGGACCCGCAGTCAATGACACTGCAGCACCTTTGGGCCAGGCTGATGGGAGAGACGGTGGAGAGCTGCAGCTGGATGTGGACAGGTGGAGGGAGCAGTCCTGGGAACTGGGCTCTGCTGCAGCGCGGCTCTAGGGCCTGGAGCCCGGGAGAGCAGAGATGGGGGCTCCCAGGACGGGAAACTCGGGGAGGAGAAAGTCGGGTGGCTTCCATGGTACGGGGGTGCTGTGGCAGGTGGTGTAGGCCTGTGGCTATCATAACGAAGCCCAAATGGGACTTGAAAACTTGGATTCCCTGGGAATTTATGAAGAGGAAGGCTCTGATGACAAAGAAGTTATGGATGAGGTGGGGGATGAGGGTCACTGGCAAGCTCGCCCCCTTATGGAAAGAAAAGTGAACGCTCAACTACTGCTGCAAAATGGGGTGAAAGGATGAGACTCTCGCTGTCAGGGAATGGACTGCTGCAGAACTCTTAGAGATTGCAAAGATCTTCAAACAACAGCCTGGGAGTCCAGGTGCCATGGCTCCTGCCTGTAATCTCAACATTTTAGGAGGCAGGATCACTTGAAGCCCGAAGTTGAAGACCAGTGAAGTGAGACACTCGGATCTACATAAATTTATTTTTTAATTAGCCAGGAGAGGTGGTGTGTACCTATAGTCTCAGCTACTCAGGAGGCTGAGGCAGGAGGATCACTCGAGCCCCAAAGTTTGGGGCTTCTGTGAGCTATGATCAGGTTACTGCACTTCAGCAAGACACTGTCTCAAAAAAAAATAAAAATCAAAACCAAACAAACAAAAAATAATAAAAAGCCCACCAAACTCCCTGGGGAAACCCTGACCCCCTTGGATGGTCTAATTGTAAAACAGCAGGTAGTGATATTTCCTTATGGACTAGATCATTCTAGCCATGTAAGAGGCTTGGACTACTGAGGATTTACCAGGTGGGATGACCTCCTTGCAGTCAATGGAAAAGGCCCCTGGTGAAACCATCCCTTTAAACTTTTATCAAATTCATCAGGGAGGAAGGGAGGAGAAAAATTTAAACCAAGCTTGTAGCACCTACAGCATTAAGCATTAGGTCAGCTTGTTCTCTGACCTTCCTCATATTTGTTTCATACCTAGTGTTCTAGAATCCCATTGTTGCAGTAAACTGAGGAACGGAAAGACCAATATGGAGTACAGGAGGATTTGTTTATATTTTAGGTACGCACCGACCCGGACGATTCATATCCAAAAAGCTGAGAATTGAACGAAGACAAAGCGGGGTTTTTATAAGCTGCCTTACAGATGCAAAACAAAAGCAGTTAATCATACAGTGACCGGCCATGCAGTCTATAGCATAATTTATGGCCTTGCATAACCAGTGTCTTTATACCTGCATTGAAAGAAAAACAAGCATTGGCTAAATACAGACATTTGTAAAACATAATAATGCTTAAGAAGCCTTGGAAAAGAGTAACAGTGAAAGTATCTGTCTTTCTCTTTTTTTTTTTTTTTTTTTCCTTCAACCTTGCTCTGAACGGGAGGGGTGTCTGGAGCCCATTCCTTTGGCCTTGGCTATTTGGACAGCGTTATCTTTTGTCCTTGAAGTGAGCTGCTAGGCAGAGGAAAACTTGTGCTTTTCAACCCTTGCCTTGCCACACTCTGGGCCTTAGCTTTTACTTTTTTTGGAGTAACTAAATTCAGTACTTATTATTATTTTTAAATTTCTGCCTCACGATAGACCCTAAATGATAGTTCCTGTTAACTGCTGTATAGATAACAACTTGAACGTTAGATGTTTTCCCTTTGAAATATTTCTGGCCAGGCGCGGTGGCTCAAGCCTGTAATCCCAGCACTTTGGGAGGCCGAGAAGGGCGGATCACGAGGTCAAGAGATCGAGACCATCCTGGTTAACACAGTGAAACCCCATCTCTACTAAAAAATACAAAAAACTAGCCGGGCGAGGTGGCGGGCGCCTGTAGTCCCAGCTACTCGGGAGGCTGAGGCAGGAGAAGGGCGTAAACCCGGGAGGCGGAGCTTGTAGTGAGCTGAGATCCGGCCACTGCACTCCAGCCTGGGTGACAGAGCGAGACTCCGTCTCAAAAAAAAAAAAAAAAAAAGAAATATTTCTATTTCAGGGTTGGGTGCATTTGTTCATGACTGTAATATCAGCACTTTGGGAGGCTGAGGTAGGGGGATCACTTGAGCCTGAGAATTCAAGAACAGCCTGGGCAATATAGTGAAACTCCATCTGTACAAAAAATTTACAAACAGCCAGGCATGGTGGCATGTGCCTTTATTCCAGCTACCTGGGAGGCTGAGGCAGGAGAATCCCTTGAGACTAGGAGTTTCTGCAGTGAGCTATGATCCCACCACTGCACTCCAGCCTGGGAAACAGAGCCATACTATGTCTCTTAAAGAAAAAAAAAGGAGAAAAGAAATCCAGACTTTTGTTAGTCTTTGGATTATCGGAGAGCATTTATCTGACACTTAGTCCAATGTTTGAGACCAATATATAGATTTATAGAAAGGGGCACTTTGGGTTTGGGACACGGCTCTGCAGGAAGCTTTGGACACACTGACATGTTAGTATGGCAGGCACAAGCCTCAGGCACACCTTTAGAGGGTAGAGCTGTAAGTTGGGATGTTATAGCTGCTGCTGAGGGTAAAAATCGGGCCTTATGGCAACCACAGTGTGGTAAATCAGCCCCTTTAGGATTTTGGTTGTAATGATGGCAAGGAGATGAAACCAGACACTCTTGAATTGAACAAGTTCTGGTAGTAAATAATGCTTTCCAGCAGGTGGAATCCTTAAGAAAGAACATTTCTGTGACTGTGAGAATGGGACTACCATGCCTGGCGAATTTTTAGTATTTTTGGTAGAGACGCGGTTTCACCATCTTGTCCAGGCTGGTCTGGAACTCCTGAGTTCAGGTGATCCACCCCCTCAGCCTCCCAAAGTGCTGGGATTACAGGTGTGAGCCACCGTGCCCAGCCTCCCACTAAGTCTCTTTCACTTGGCCTGGCACAGTTTCCCATTCCTTAATCCCAGCACGCTGAGTGAACGAGGTGGGTAGACTGCTTGAGCCTGAAAGTTTGGCCTATGACCACCTTGGGCAACATAGTGAGACCTAGTCTGTATTTTATTAAAAAGAGAAATATATATATACACACACACACACACACACACATTTATATACATAAAACATGGTGAGCATAGTGGGTCACGCCTGTAATCCAAGAACTTTGGGAGGCCAGTGAGTGGATCACCTGATGTCAAGAGTTCAAGACCAGCCTGGCCAACATGGTGAAACCTTGTCTCTAACTAACAATACAAAAATTATCCGGACATGGTGGCACACACCTGTAATCCTGATTATTCTGGAAGCTGAGGCAGTAGAATCCCTTGAACCCAGGAGGCAGAAGTTGCAGTGAGCCGAGATCACATCATTGTGCTCCAGCCTGGGCAACAGAGCACAAACTCCATCTCAGGAAGAAAAAAAAAAAGTGAAAG